CGCGATTTGCCAATAGGAAAATGTAAAATTTTTCAACTACTATTAAATACCCAGTCAGTCAGAATTAAAACCTCGAGGTTTACTACACCATAAAAAAAGTTGATCGGACCGTAATCAATCGGATTTTTTACAGTGTCCGATCTCAAACGCGTGTTCAACGATGCATCTTTTAATCCAATTCATTGGCAAAGAATAGCCGCTAGATACAAATTATCGCACTAAAAAAATTTCAACAAAAATAATTATACACTAATGAAGGAAAAAATATGCAAATAATTATCATTTCATGTTCTCAGTTACATCAGTGTAATAAATGAACACAGATTAATGGGGGGGGGGAGAGAGAACTAATTAATTAATTTCCAGATAAAATGCAGCCTGGATTTACATGAAAGTATTTCCCGTGCACCAGATAAAAATAGAGAAGAAAAAAAATGATTATAAATGTAGGATATATTTATTATTTTTAGCTTTGATATATAATTTTACGATGAAAATGTTCCAACTTTTATTATGCAAGTGAAAATATGTTGATTTTTTGTTCAATTTGTAAAAAATTTATCTAAAAGTAGAAGGAATAAATTAATTGCTAATAATACATAAAATTAAAATTTTCATCAAATGAAAAAACATCAAGTCTTGCCTCACAATATATTTTATTTTTTATTGAAAATATTTTTTACAGAATTTCAGAAAATTTAAAAAACAACCCGGAAAGATGAAATTCTACCTCTATATCCTCCAAGAGATTTTGAATTTAAGAAACATCATATTTTCTTGTTGTCTTTGCTTAATTTATTTATTATGTCATCCGTTAAATCTTTAATATCATCACAGATCAATACATTATCATATACATAAACAAGTATATTTATAGAACCATTTTATCTTAACGCATTTACGAGCAGCGTCAGGATATTGAGCACCAGTTTTACAATATGGACCATATTTTAGTCTTGGAATATTTCGACATCGTTTCGCTTACAATATTCATGAAAAAAAGCGACAGTGGTAGTAAGGAAGTAAAAAAAAAATATTAATACGTTTTGCAGGCCGCTTATGTCGATTTGCGCGTTCGGGTAAACTTCAGAGCTCTTATCGCATCAGTGCGAACGTGCCGGCGCATTATAGAAAGTTAGAATGTGTATAGGATGGCAAGACTGTGGCCATCAAAGCGAGAAGAAGCAATCGATACTCGATAACTCTTCTTGCTAGAATAGGTCGTCGGTGATCCACGAACAACGTAACACAATATCATACACCAAAAGAGAAGTCAGAGATCGAATTAAGAGACTTTACTTTCTTTACTCACAATCTTCCAACTACTACTGTTTGTGTATAATATGGATCAACTGTCATGCGATCAAAAGAAATCACTTCCTGGGCCACATCTCACTGTGTATACACACCAATAAACCTCAATATACCAATGTACATCTTCAATTGTTATATCTTCTATATGAGATTTTTGCTTCATTGGTTTTAGCCTTTCTTAGTTTTATTTGCTGTCTATCAGAAAAGGCTTCTCTAATCCTACAATCGAAATTATTTCATTCGTTATGGGAGAGTAAGAAATATTTTCATTATTTTTATTAATAAATTACTACCATTATTTTACTACAGTCTTATTAAATAATGATAATCTATTTAATAAATAATTGATTTATTAAAATACCAGAATGAATTTTCAAAAATGTAGAAAATGTGATGTAGAAAAGTTGACAATTTTCTTTATGTCAAATTTATTAGAAATCTCTAAAAGAAAATATTGCATGAAATTTTACGAGTTTCGTTTATTTAGAATTTATTGTAAAGATATTCTCATTTTAAATAAGATATCGAATTGAAATAAAAATAAAATGAAAATTTCTTGATTTTGTTTTTCAATCACTTGAAAAAACAATATTTCTCCTTCAATTCGATCTTTTCCAGTATTTTTCTTTACTTTTCTCTTTCTCTCTTTCTCGTTCTATGTAACTCGTTGGATTTTATAGATGGATTACAGAAGTTTACGTTCAACCAAGCTCAGGAGATAGGATTTTTATGGTATCTTTTTTTCTTCGTTTTCTCCTTACAGTTAGTACATTCGATTTACTTTGGCAGCTACCAACTCCTTAAGACACACAATTCAGTTGAATGAAAGTGTCCATTGCTATTTGCTTGAATATTTCTATTATCAAAACCACATAAATTAATCATTCAGTGTTCCTATTTCTTTTTTTCTTCCCTCTTTTCAAGGGACTTTGATGGCGAACTTGAGCAGAGTCTGCGTACCTAAAGTTTCAAGGCTTGGATTAACAAGTTTGTCCCGCAACCGAAATAGTTGCGAGATTTCACAATGATATAACGCCTCTATGTTAGGTAAGGAGCAAAGAGAGAGAAGAGTAATGTCGTGCCTCTCGATCGCGATAAGTTTAACTTCTTACCCTCTTCCGCTTCTCTCCTCTTGCTCTAATCTCTCGTACTTTCTTCAACCCTCCCATTTTGCACGTAGCACACTTTGGTCGATCCGATTGTCTATTATTCCCGTTCACAGAGATGCGAATGGCTAAACTAACTTGACGATGTTCTCAAACTACGTTCCAATGCAATTCACTCAAATTGCTCGTCGTCATCGACATGCAATATATAGTTATAATATCATATATAAGCTCAAAACCATCACTGGCATTTTTAAATTCATATTCTTTAGAATTGGTGTTAAACAACTGTTAAAAATTTATTTTTCTTTGTTCATGTTTTCTTAAAAATAATAAAATGGGGGATTATCCAAAGACTTCAGTTTTGAAAAAATTAACATAAATAAATTGTTAGAAATTGGAAAAAAATATAATTAAATTAATACTTGATATAAATCCAGAGAATAGATGAAACCACAATAGTTTACTTAGTTTTCCTATTTATGAACAGTTTCTCAAAAGTGTAACATTAGTCTTATTGGTAAAAAGTTGAATTCTAGTTTGAAATTAAATTCAACTCTGATGTAAACTAAAGCTGAAAAAAAATTGTGATGAGTGTAAAAAGATACATCGGCTCACTCAGAAAGTTTACGACTCTCGAAAGTCATTACTACCCCCCGCAGCACATCTTATTCTCCTTGAAAATACCCATGAGGGTGTTGAACGATCGATATCTTGACTCGTCTCGATTTTAACGGTAAAAAAATTTTTATCCCCCTCAATTTTTCTTACGACATAAGCTGGAAATAACTTGTGTTTCATCTTACGTTCTATAGTTATATGTATAAATAAATAAATATTATATACTACAAATAATATTATTATTATTATGATAGTATAGAAAGTAACTCAAGTTCAATGTAACAGAAATTATGATATTGCTTTTATGGTTCAAGGATTACTTGAACGATTAGAACAATTTCCAACTAAATTAGAAGCGTTTTTTTTTGCTACGTTAAAACTGAAAAAATTCATTTATATCGCAATTATTACTTTCTTCTTCGTCATGTGGTAGTTAATAAAATGCTTACCAAATGAATCACTTAAATCTGCTGAATTATATATAGAGTTAAATAATCTCTAAAAGACACTATTTTCTCACAACGCCAAGCTTAAAGTACACCACAATAATTTTTATTAAAAAAATACATTTAACGAATTATTGAGTGAATAGTTTAAAATGCTATTAGAATTTATCATTAATAAATGATTTTAATTATGTATGAACTCATCATTCAACAAAGTTTAATCCTTTGAAAGTTTCAAATAAAATGAAAGTTTAGATAATTTTTTTTTTATAAAAATACACTAGATGGTTAATAAAAATTTTACAACATCGATCCTACTGATTTTGTGGACAGTGTTAAAGTGAGAAAGTACATCGGTCATTTTTTTTCTTTTTTATTGACAAAAAATATTTTGTTCTTTAATATAAACTTTACGTGAGCTATTTTCCATTATCGTAAAATTTATGTTGCCAATTTCCAAGTTTTACGATTTTATGTAGGTATATAACGAATATATTTCAAGTGTTTGAGAGAATGTATCGATGACAAAGGGATTTTTCAATAAATTACAAAATAATAAAAAAATAAATTGTTAATAATAAAATGAATGATAGCATAAAAGAATGAAATATTAAAGTGGAATTTAATATGTTTTAGTCCTTCATTATATTCAATAACATTCTATGCAAAAATTTCATTTAATTCTCGCAAATTCAGAATAATTACAAAGCATGCAAGGAATTCATTGAATAATTTTCCAAATAATTTCAACCATGCTTGCTTTGATTTTCAATGTAATCATTCCTTTCAAATACCAGTACTAATTTATATTGCATATTTTTTTAAATTCTCTTCCTAATTTATTGTTTATAAATTAAATAAAACAAATCACTAGTAGTTAATGTCAATAAATAAAAATATAAAATAAAAATTCACTAAAGAATATGAATGAAAATACCAATCCAAGAGAAAAGTATGACTGAATGAGTCGCAGGTGTTGCACGACTGTGACTACGATTTACTGAGGCAAAGACAAACGATAGTAAAAGAAAACGCAAAAACTCAGTAGGAGAAAGAGAAAGAAACTAAAAAAAAAATAATAATAAAATTTATTTTCCAACTTATCACTTAGAACATTTTGTTACGGGATTAAACTTCCTATCCGACACTACGATTATTTCAGTATTTTCCTCTCAAAAGTTCCCAGTGGAGCTAAAATCTCTGCACCGTTCATTCATCCATGGATTTCTACTCTTCATGAGTCGTTAAATTGACGTCAGAGTCGATCGACCATTAGAAAGTCCCTCGACAGAGATGTAAAGAAAAACACTAGACCAAACGATCAATCTTCTGTACGTCAATACCCTCGGCCTACTCGTTTTCGTATCAGCTTAACGCAATTTACAAAAATAAAAAAGGAAATGGAAAAACCTAATAATAATCACGTTAAAAGCGTACGCTATTAAACTGTATCCATTTTACCAAGCTAAATATCGATATGAAAATAAACTTATTTTTTAATTCAAAATTTCAGGCAGCAGCGAAGAATCCAGAACAGGTCCAGGAGATCCAGGGAAGCTTGGAGTAAAGAAACCACGTCCTAAACCTTCATCCCCAAACCGCCAAGGACCTCAACAATGTCAGGTAATTAGAGTCAGCTATGAAACTTGATAAATTTAAAAGGCTTGTTATTCAAAACTTTGTACACAAAAGGTTGAATGATGATCGAGGATATGAACGATAAAGAGAATGACCTATTTCGTAGTGCACATATACATGTAAACAAGCCAAGTACGTCAAGTATACTCTGGCATGGAACACATTCCAGTAACTGCATACGTTTCCAAGTGAGACGAGAGCAGCTTTTATCGACTGTATGCTACTGGACATCAGTGCAATTAACGATGCTGATAAAATAGAATTTCCAACGTTTAGCTCGAGGGGAAGCTTTTTCTACGTTCAAAGTGCTATTTTTATTTTTGTTATTGCTAGTGCTGTTTTATGCTGAAAACGTTTAGCCATTAGGATTTTATTCTTTACTTCTCATTCAGAGTTGATGAATTCCATCAATATATATGAGTGTCATTTTTCACTAGTAAATTCATTAAACTATCGATCCAGAGCTTTCCTTGGACCATCATGAACTCTCCAACCATCAGTGTACCACAAACCGATAACACGTGGTTTGGTTGAAGATTGTTGAATATTCAGGTGGTCCTTGAATGTAACGTCCTAATATCTAGGAGGAGCTTGAGTTCTTGGTAATGTTAAACTGCTGTCTTGGTCATGGTTGATCGTGGCTCTCTAGTATCTCACTTAATCCTTGAGCTATAGCTTGTCTATCTTGAATCACTTCTGAACATGGAAGGAAGCAGGTTCCTTGTCTGGCCATAATTAAATGACGTGATGCACGACTAGTTGACGAGTAACGACCATGTATCAAGTTAGAAATAAATTGAACTCTAGGGCAAGACCACAAACTTGAGCAACAGCTCATCATGCTTTATTGTGATACGCATTTTATATCATGCTCATAATCAGAATCATGTTGTTATCAAAGCGATTGATAGAACTGCAATCACATTGAATATTCCCTTTTATAACAATGATTACACTGTAAATCGATTACTATAGATGAAGCTTTGATTCGAATCAAGCCTTTTGTCAACACGCTACGACTTGTAGAGAATATACCTTCTCCTATCTGTGCATCTCATCTCTGATAGCGTTCCAGCTCTAAGCATTGGCACAACCAACAGCTCGTTAAGTTAATTAATTGACCTGGCACGTCTATTTTGCTCATTGTACGTTCAATCGAATAGTTGTTGTTGCCTCGTTTTACTAATAAACATAAAGAGGCTAAGCTGAGATTCAATTTTATCAAAAATTCAATACTGAATGAATAACTAAACTTTAAATTAAATGATAACCATTTACTTTTAATTAAAAAAACAAAATCATTATCTTGATAACAAATTTTTACAACTACTCAGCAGGTTATGTTTTAGCTATCCATTTATTCATCCACTATCTGATAGCATCCATAGGTCATGTTAGTGAACAGCTCATTAAGTTAATTAACTAACCAAGCAACACTATTCAGTTAGGGTAGACAACTTGTAGTTAAAATTTTCTGTCTGATGGAGGTATGGACACTGACGTTAGTTCAAGTACCAAAAATACCACCATAAAGTCGTAGTGAGATAACAATAAATGAATAATAGTATTCTGTTAACGAAACATCGATACGAATAAGGAACTCACGTAGAGTTGGTGTACTTTGGCAAGGGCTTAGTCTTGTCTAGAGTTTGAAGTCGAAAGAGGGGATAGAGTAATGATGTTTGTTTAGCTCTCGAGTAGGGGATGAAGCTTCATCCAAGAGGATGAGATCGACGAGACGTAGGATGGGATGGGAATCGCAAAAGGACTCAGTAGAACCGGCTTTTGGTACCAAAACCGTGACGACTGAGATAGTAGTGGAGAATGTTGCTTACTCATCTTCTATGTCGTAAATTGAAACCCCTGTGCGTCGACGTTCGTACATCTGGAGCTCCTTACGAGTTAAGCTACGCAAATTAGATTTTCTGCTTAGAAGAGACGATGGTGGATGGAGAAGATGCTCGACGTCCCACGTGCACTGTAACACCCACGTCTGTCTGTTGCGTTGAATTTCTCAGGCTTCCCACTTTGACTATTTCAACTCCAGTCGTCATCCTCATGTCGTACCTCTTGGTTTGCATTTCTACCCAAGACGTCATCAGTTGAGGAAGCTTATGGAGACACTCACGGAAACACCAGCTTGAAAAGATAATAATAAAAATGCAGTTTATAAAAAATCAACTAATTACAAATTTTTTCCGGATAAAAATTCAAGCCAAGAGAAAGAGAGGTGTATCGTAAAAATAGTAAGAAAAAAGAGCAGAGTTGATAGAAGCATGGTCATACAGTGAGAAAGTTCATACGACTTAATCTCACACCCTTCATGTCTAGTGGGTTGAGGATAAGAGAGCTGAGGGAAATCGAAATTAATTTCCAATACACCTGCGTCGTTCTGGTGGATGGGAAAATGCAGGCGCGCGATTCCAAGCTCCATTATCGGAAAAGTCTTTCCACTTTTTCACGTTTCTCATGACCATTTCCATTTCCAACGTCGTCCGCACGTCACTGCACTCGAAATCGAAATCGATTTTGTTCAATGTCGCTCAACCGAGATTCGTGTGCTTATTCGCACCAATCGTTTACACCTTTGGACTTGCAAGAAAACTGTCATTTTCCCACTAAGATACTTTACATATCAATCATTATTCCGTCAATGACTTCCTATGTTTCATTCGTTCTGTATTTTAGTTTCATTTAAACGTATTTACATAATTTATTTTTGACTAATCAATAGACCAAACTAAATTCATAAAAAAGTATTTTTTATTATTTTAAGATTTGTTTATATTCCAGGTGTGTGGTAAAGTGTTTAACAACGCCTCAGCATTGACAAAGCACAAATTGACACACAGTGACGAGAGAAAGTATGTTTGTACGATGTGTGGAAAGGCATTCAAGCGGCAGGATCACTTGTAAGTAATTCAAATGACTCTATTATATTTATAAAGATAATTCAAACTTCACAATAATGAAAACGTGCGTCTTACTAATATAATAATTCGACATCTTGATTTTTGAAATTTATCCAACTTTAAAATAGTCATTTACTAAACTTTCCTCAGAAACAGATTCAACTGATACTTTTTGTTTTCATGCATTTGCTTCTTTCATATTAATTTCTGATTTTTTATTTGTTTTTGAATGAGTCTGCAGTAAAGTCAGTTGAGCGTGAGATGACGATTGAGGAAGTAGAGAGATAGTGAAAGAGAAAACAAAAATGCAAGAGAGGAAACAGCAGGTGGCAAATTCAGGAAAGCGTGCTCGGACAGAGAATTCAATTCTTTCAGCCAACGAGAAAAGGAAATAAAAACAAAATCGATAAAAGAGAAGGTTTCTGGCGCACTCTCAAGCTCTGTAGCTCAACCAGACGCAATGTATTTTTCTTCAAAGACGAATCTCTAAATCCTCCTCCTACCAGCCTATGTTTTTTTTTCTGTTCTATCTCTTTTATTTCTTTTCCTTTTTTTGGTCATCGAACACAGTACTTCGCCTCTAGAATTCCGGTTCATCCTTTGCTTGGACAGCATTTTTGCTATTTTATCCTTTTTCTTGATTCTTTTCTAAAGATCTATGTTTAGCTCTTTCTGTCTTGAGAGAACAAGAAAAGGAATCTAGAAAACATGAAAAATTTTTCATTATGTTCTGGCTCTAATCAAATATTTTGAAAATTCTTTAAACGATTTATCTTTAAATGGTATTTTGCTTTTGAATATTCACAAAATAGGCTACTTCAAATGATATGTTATGTTACAATTACATCAACAGTCAAACCTATTATTATTGAGTTATTATAAGACTCTAGTTGCAACAAAGTTAAAATTTATTCGCCTTGGAAGAAATAATCTATCTACTCTTAAATTTTAAGAGTAAAATATTTCAATGAAATTGAAAAAAAAATCATAATAATCATATAAATTTAATAAAAAAAATTCTCATTTACTTTAATTCATTTCTTTTTAACTTGTTCTCTAGTCTCTTCACAGCTGGATGACCATTGCAAACGTAATTCGCAAAAGAGGTTCATGTTCTTCTTATAGTCTACATAGCAATGTTAAAAAGTTAAGCAAATTAGCTTTTACAAATTAAAGCTATTTCCATAGAAACAGGAGAAAGGGATTAGTAGAGGGTTGAGACTTTATGGAGATATAGGAGAAGGGTGATTTTAGGGGAAGCCCATTGCTATCGGTAAAGACTATAAAACTACTAAAAAACCTTTTTACTCTTCCAGTCTTTTCTTTCTATTGCCTATACGAATCTGCCAATGTTGTTGAAATTTACTGGAAAGCAATATTCTACTGAGGTACGTGAGGGTGGATTTTCCGTTCACGGAATCTCCACCATTTTAATGACAGAATCAAGAAAAGGGGATCCATAAAGAAATCGAGTTTTTGGCCGATGCCTTCTGCTATTGTTCATTTCTGAAACTTATTAAATTTTTGAATAATTACATAAATTAATTCCTTTAATTATATTTATTCGTTTTCAATAATTACTTTCATAATTACAATAAAAAAAATAATACTAAACTACTTTACTTCAAATTAAAATTAAAATAATTTATAAATAATGAAGAAACGATTTTTGATTCGATTTTTGTTGAATTTCAATATTGTTTTAACTAAGAAATTATTTTTTTAAGAATATTTCTGAAATTTTGATAATAATCTTGATGAAATCCGATATGAAGCAAATTATATTGCTAATAGTATAAAAAGCTTTTATGGATAAAGTCTAAAGATCACAGTGTAATTTTATCAATAGTTGCAGTGATCTTGTCTTGATCCGGAAGTGGTTGAGGAAATTATCAGACTACTATAATTAGAGACAATGTCGTCGTTTCATCCCCAGTTTAATCCAAGAGAGCGATTTTACGAGGGCATGATTTCGTCGCAGATTCCTAGGGAATTAATGCAATTATAACCAAGTTACTGTCGCTTCTTCTAAAGTGAATGGGGAAGCGAAGAGGAGGTGAAAGGGGAGCGAGAGGGGACATCAAGAGACAAGCCAAGTAAAGTTGGCCCTGGGCAGGCGTGAAATTGCTCTGCCTACTTGTTGCTCCCTTCAGTGAATGACCCTATTTCCACGCATGAATCCTTGTCTTAATAAAAAAATAGGAAAGAATCAAAAATGTGGCAGATAGCTTTGATTATACTTTTTTCTTGGTAACACTTTTTTTGTCTCTAGTGATCTCTACACCTTAAAAGCACATTCACTTGTTGTCGACCCTAAGATAACAAAATTCTCACTCTCCTGCAATTTCTCTTCAGTAAAAAGCTCTACTCTAAAACCCTTAGATATTGCTTCCAGAGATATTGCAACGGTGCAACTACCTCAGCTTTTTTTCTCATAGATCCTCAGTGCTGATAGATATACAGTATTATTTCTTCACTATTTAGACAATTATATTTATTATTCAGTTTAGTTAAGATTAATTTATTAAAAATCTCAAATAACTTCTCAATCAACTTGAAAATTCACAATTGCTTTAAAATTAGTGATGATGTGTATGCTAATTTTTTTTGTAGGAATGGCCACATGTTAACGCATAGAAACAAAAAACCATTTGAATGCAAAGCAGAGGGATGTGGAAAGTCATACTGTGATGCACGAAGTTTGCGTAGACATACAGAAAATCATCACGCTGGTAGTAAAGTAAATGAGAGCGTGAGTCCAAGCAGTCCAACAACAGGACCGCATACACCCAACACCCCAGGCAGTAACCCAAGCACGCCAAGTACACCCGGAGCACAAGCCACACAAAACGGTCATGGACATACGGCCCTCAAGCAACTTCTCGCCACAGAACCCGCACAAACTCAACTGCACAAGGTGAGCTTTTACTGACTAAAACTTTATCAGCACTTCAAGTAAATCCTTGAAATTATTTCATTAATTTTTACTTATCATTGACTTCATCGACAATCATCACCCTTTCTTATTGAAAGGAGAAAAAAAAAATGAAACTCAAATTGAAAAATAGTGATGTTGAGTTGAGTTTAAAATACATTTTACTTCATGTAAATGTGTTGTACAAGCTTCGCGCCATGGATTATTGGAATAAACTACGCTAGCGAATGAATTCTACACAATCATTGTAGCATTCGCTTCCCTTCTATAAACTAAATTCTACGCAAATTGGTATATCCCAGCCACTTAGCCAGCATGGAAAATGGTTTGTAATGCAAACAAACACCACCGAGTTTACTAGTGTACCTGTATACTGCACCCTTCATTCTCTACAACGATATTCTATGTATATGTTACATTCTGAAGCTTTACTATTAGTAATTTACACGAATTCGAGTAAATACATACAGAGAATGAGTGCATAGATAGCTAATTTTCACTGTTATATCCTGTATGAGATCCACCCGATTCATGTATAGTCCATTATTAATCTCTCAACTTTAGATTATTATTATTATTTATTTATTACTTTTTTTTAGGAAATATTTTTGTTTAAAATAGCAATCTTTTAAATAAGTAAGCCATTACATTGACAAAAAATTCATAAAAAATTAATGTAAAAAATTTTTATAAAAGATAAGAAAGTGAATTACAATAAGATTTATTTGAAAAAGAAATTTCTTGTAAAAATAATGAAAGGTTTTTTGATAATTGATTTATTTATAGACTCCATTAAAAACCCTATTTTTCATAGTCTAAATATCATTATTTTACTCGCTTTTCTACGAATTTTTATTTTTACATAATTTTTCATCAAATTTACTCTTATTATTAAAAATGTAGATAAAATCCTTTAAAAGTTTTAAAGTTTAATTTCCAACTCAAAATGAAAACAGACTTTTTGCAAATCCTCAAGACTATTCGAATCCTCCATTATCTTTTCTACTCGTCTAATAAATTCATTTGATAGTCCTAACTTTTGATATTAACAAGATTAATATGGCATTGGAAATTGGTAAAATAAGTGAGATATGAAAGACATCGAGATAAGTACGGATTGGCAAAGATTGTAATATTTGATATGATATGAGGTTATTAATGATGTGATGAAGGATATTATAGAATTTTTCCATCTGGAAAAAAGCTTATATAAGAGCTAGATGCAATAAAAGTATGATCTTAGATTAGTTTGAAATCGACGACCAAATGCCCGTACGATTAACCCTCTAGTTCTCAAACTTTTTTTCCTCTACTTTGGTTTTCACATTTTATCCCTTCGAACACTTACCTCTCTACCTCACTGTCTATATTCTTCCTTCCATCACTTTTTTTTATCATCCTCACCAGAGATCACGTGTGCATTTTACTCTTGCTCGCGCGCTAAGGACCTCTGAAACTTATATTGAATCACGATAAATCTCTCCAAGCCATTCCAATATAAATTCCAGCACAAAATCAATTTTTATAAACTCTTAAATAAAAAACCCCTTCTTTAGGGTCTTTAATATATCAAGAGTTAAAAGAAGAAAAATATAATTTTTTTTCACTATCGAATAGCTTATTATAATTAGTATAAATATCTTAATGACCTAGCAGATATTTTAAAGATGAAGGGGGAACGTAAATTTAAGAATTAGAACTGAACCAACTGACTTTGCGCTAATTTGAAAAGTTTGTCCGCGTAAGCGTTAAATTAAAACTTTGCACTACCCTTGGAAACTCAGCATCAGAAAAATAAATTAATCACACCAACTTTTTCCTTCATTTCTTTGCTTCTTTCTAGACTTTCTCACGCTTACTTCCCTAATGACACCACACGAATTGACCACAGAATAAAAACTGACTTCAAGACAATTCCAGAGCCAGAAAAACAAATCCAAATATAAAGATTTAGTATAATAGTAATTCAATAATATCAGATATATTTATATTCTCAGAATGCTCAAAAACAATCAAACTTACAACTGATAAGGAAGTAAAAAAAAGTCATTGGTTACAATTGGGATGTACTGTTAACAAAATGAAATAAAATAAAGTCGTTAATCATTGAAGTATAAACTGGACGGATCGTTGAATGTGTGTTGGGCTATAAATGTTGATAAATGTGTTTATATGACATGAGAATAGAAAGCCATGGCGTTTAGGAAAGTCTATATGAGATGAAACGAGAGACATAATCTAACGTAAACGATTGGATGTTGGAATACGACAACAACGTAGTGCCTAGCACTCGATTCAACGCGTTCATTTGATATACAGCTAATTAGAGATCTGAATCTGAATGTGCTGGGTGTGCAATAGAGCTGCGACCTCACCAACCGACTGCAAGAGCATCCAGTACACTCAGTGAAAATCGGGGAATAGGATATAGAATGGTAGTAGAATAGAAGGTAGTAACGCGATAGGCTGCAGTCACACTAGGCATATATAAAATGGACACGGCAACTACTGGGTAGAGAATCGTATGAGAGATGGCATCGCTCGTTCGATCGCATAAAATACACCCGTCGTATGGGACACTCGCTAAGCCAATGCTGGGTCGTTCGAGCCTCGTTTCGCATTGTGTGTGCTATGGCCTCTAAAAAGTGCATTCGACCGTGTCTACGTTCACATTAACGATTTATCGATTTTCTGCTCATACTCGAATATAAATTCCATTGGCTTTGCTGAATATTTTCCCTAACAATAAAACGGCTTTTTCTACGCACAAATGAGTGTTTCAATTTTTATTAAATAAACTGGTCAACAAAACACTGCTATTTTACATCAACGGAACATTATTATTTTTATTTCCCGAATTTTTTTCATTTTTTTCTCTCTTTACCACAAGATTATTGATTTTCATCATTAAATATAATTTAGCATTATAGACATCGAGTAACTGTTGATTATTATCTCTAATATCACCATTTTTCACTTTTATCCGAGCTTATTTCATTTAAAAATCCATCATCAATAATATTAATGAAAATATTCACCATAAAAAGATCCATTCGACAATGATTCACAAGGTTGAAATCAATAATAATTTATCTCTTTAATTTTTTTAAATATGAAAAATAAATAAAGCATTGAAATTTATTTAATAAAAAATTTTCCACATTGCTTTATAATACTCTGAATTTTTTTATTTTCCTGTATATCCCATTGTTTGAATTTACCTCAACTTCCTCCATTGCTATGAATGGTAATGACGAGGATAATATGAATTGGGGATTCGCTTGTCTCTACACATTGCATTTAGTCATATATTCAAGTAGAATTTCTTCATGTTTCAAAGCGCTAATAAAGCCTCGCCCAAGGCTATTCCAATGGCGCAGTAGATGAGAGTTAGTTATGAGAATAACTTGGTGGTGGTCGAGAGACAAGTTTCTATAAGGGTTTATAGGTATATTGTGCTTGAACAACAATGTAACCATTTACCAGATTATGATTAATTATTATTGAAACAAATAAAAATGACAAAGAAATAAACAAGGCATTTATAACTCAATGTTTTATTATTTCCATATAAAAAAAAACCCATTTTTAAAATTTTTAACTTTTATAATTTTGTTCGAGCGGATAAGTAATAATTTTTATGTATTATCGATAGTTGTTAATGGGTTCCACAAGCAAGAATTCGCTCTTACTTCACACGGAAATATTTTATTGAAAAATCAAAAAATGACAAGTAGAAGAGTATCTCGCATTGATGTTTTCAATTAAAAAATTAAAGATTCTTGTATTTTGATTTCAAAGATATCGTTTTGTATATATAGATGCCTAAAAGTACAAAATCCAGTTAAACATCCAAAAAATTGATTTTAATTTTAATTAATCAATAAACAAAAAAAATTAGATTTAAAATTTTTATATGTCTCTAAAAAAATTATAGTGTATAAAATATAATTGTAATGGTTTAATAAACCTAAAAGTGAATTTTATAAAAATTAAGATAATCAATACAAACAAGAAGACCTTCTATAAACAAAAATTAAATTAATTAAGTTAGTTTGTGAAGAAAAAAAGTTGAATAAAGGAACGTAGGTGGTAAACTTCTTACCCCAGCTCTAATTCTTAGTCTCAGTCTTCATGGTTGTAAGGAAGGAGCCGTACTCTCATACTTTTAATTCGCTTAGGCGCGACTCTTGAAGCTCTTAGAACAAGCCAACGTAGAGCTTATTAGAATGAGGCCAGGTGTCGAGATCTCGACTTTTTTCCCTTATCCTTCTTCATTTTTTTCTTCTTTTTATTTCTTTCACATATTTTCTTGTGGCGTCAATTTTCATTTGAAACTTTTCCTCCCTTTTACTCTCTTTCTCTTTCTTCAGTTTTCCTTCCTCTCTATCCTCCTTTATCTCTTTATTCTCCTACTCGATAAGAAGCTTCCCCGATGGTACGTTTCACAATAACTTTTTCAACCTTCTCTCTTTCCTCTGACGCCAATTTTTATTTTCACTTTGCTTCCAATTCTCGTCTATTTTCACTCGACGCCTACTTGTTCATTGCAGTTGGCTTTTCACTTATACTACAAGAAGAAAATACGTTTTTCCATTCACAAAAATACAACTCGAGTGCTTTTGACATTCACATTTCTCGAGAGTAAAAAAGATAAGAGGCAAAAATGAAGAGGAAAGAAAAAACGAATGATGAGAAAACAAAATTTTCATTTTTTTAAACTTTTTTTATGAAAAAATTTTTAATTTAATTTTTAAACTTGACTCAAGTATCACATTTAGAAGTAAAAAAGTATGAGTAAGAATAAATAATTATCATATGAGAATAATAAAAAGAAAACATGACATAAAGTGTGTAAATAAGTAGTAAGATTGTGCATTTGTCAGACCTAATGACAGACGAGCTTAGGAGGCTGAAAATTGATCAGACAGATGACAACGTTTGAAACATGACTTTGAGGTATTCCTTTTCCGTTCTCATGTTCAACTGGAACTATCTAAATTGCCCAAATTAGACTACAAGGCGTAGAGCTGAAATAGAATAATTTCAACTGACGCTATTGCATTGTCTGATCGTACAACATAGTTTCCTTAATTGTAATATCGAACCAACCACTATATTCTCACGATATATCCATTTGTTAATTGACTCAATCATCATTATCATCCATCTTTGTATAAATTAACATCATAAGTATCTTTATTTTCATCACTCTGCTATAAATCATCAAATAAAAATTAATTTTATGATTTTAAAATTTTGGTAAATGAAGAAAGCCATAATTTAATTCTAGTAAATGATAAAACTAATAAAAAAAAAGAAAAACAAAATTTCTCTCCCAAAATGAGTTTTAATTAGACGTCTATTCAGCTCATAAAATTATTCTAACGTATTCAGAATTTCATATAATGAACCTTATACAATATAAAAAAATTTTATAAAGCATATTATCAACTTTTCATTTGAATAAAAATTCATAAATGGTGTAATTCGATATTTCACCCATGAATTACAAACAAGGCATTTCTAAAATAATAATAAAACTCAATAATATTATGTTATCATCATTGTTGTTTCGACAATCATTATCATTATTTGAAATTTAAAAAAAAAACTACTCAAAACATGATAATTTAATTAATTAATCATATTTTTATTTGAGTTTACAGTTTATTTACGAAAATAATTAATTTAATTCAAATGAATGTGATTATTACATCAAGTTTACATTAGTCTTTTGTATAAAATGAATGAATATATAATCACAGTGATTTCATAAACCAACATTTTCATTATAAATTCAATGAATGATGCAAACAGTGATGAATATTATATGTAACAATTAAAGTGTATTTCTTTTAATAAAAATAACAATTTCATATTTTACAAATTTTCATAATAAATATTCTTTTTCTTTAGAATTCAACATCAAGTAACGATGGATTAACAAAGCAACAGATTGAGTTAATCCAACAAATAATGCAGCAAACTCAACAGCAGCAACAGCAGTCTTCGAATTCACAACCGTCGATGACTAATTCACCATCCACGGCTGTAACGCAAATTTCCAAGAGTGGAAAACCAACAGCCAAGTCTACGACATCCCCCAGCAACGGCTCGACCACAGGAAATGGAGCTGGGAATAGTAATAATACCAGTTCTAGTCCCAAGCCAAAGGTCTGGAGTCAAGGCCAAGTAAGTTATTGATTTATTTTTATCTTTAAAAAAGATATGATTTTTAAAAGTCTATCTTTTGTTAAAAAATAAATTTATTATCTTCAATATAATGGGCTTATTGTATACATCCCATGCTTGTAATTATTTTTTTTTTTTTTATTCCAATGAAATTAATAACAATGAAAATCAAACAGAATAATTTTAGAGAATAAACAATAGAGTTGGAACTGAATTGAGTTGCGAAAGGGTTGGGAAAAAATTAATTTTTCAATAAAATTGAAAAAAAAAAATTTTTAAAACATTTTTCAATAGAGGATAACTTTTTGGACTTTTGAAGGATAGAAAGTTTCGAGGGATTAAAAATTAAAAGAGCTCCAATGACGTGGCTTATTTATTATCATTGTCAACTAGTTTGGTTTTAGCTACTAATGAAAAAAATTATGGAGAAAAAGAAACTTGTGATATAGTTATCCCTTAGAGATTCTGGCCCAAAGATAGCGAGTAGCCATACATATTAATGGGATTTATTGATCGCCATAATCTCACTTTTTCAAGAAATCTAAATCCTCTCTTCACAAATTTAATTGGTAGTCTAATAATGATTGTTGCGAGTTATTTAAATCCACAATTAAACAAATACAAAATAATACAATTTTTACAACACAAGTATCCTTTAGAAAGGATACTCAAAATGCTAATTTAAAAGATGAATTTTTTATCAATTTATTTAGCCAGAAAAAAACTAAATTAAGCAAAAACAGTAAGAATGTTTACATTCTGCTTCTTTTAATGCTAAAAATATACAAAAAATAGTAGAGTTTATTAATGAGAAAATTAATAAACTATATGATCGGCTCTGATGGAAGGTAAAGTTTGTATAAAAGAGAGAATGGATCTGAGACTCGTATTATGATGCCAAGTTCTCATACATATTAATGAGAAATCGATCGATTTTACCTCCGCGGCCGTTTGCCTGCTTCTTACTCTGTTTAGGCACATTGAAGTATCGACACATAAGCTCTTCGTGTGGGCCTCCGGTGGTTATTATGTCATTAGTTTAATGAAGTTAGAGGATGAACGAGCGCTACTCAAATATAGATCTTGATTTTATCACCATTTTCCTCTTATATTATACCAATTTTTCATTGTTCAAAAGCTGAATGTTAAACGAATTCACTTAAATCAATTCTCCACATCTTCCACTTTTTTTAAAAAGTTTTCTGACTTTAACTTTCTCATTTAGAAATCACTCTTGGTGCTAGTTGATTTAAAATCATTTAAATAAATTCTACGGGTTTCTGTAGATGAATTTGTGGTCATATGTTGGTACGGTAATATCAGGAGATTGTGAAAAAAAAATTTCTTCCCCAATAGTACCTACAAAGTGATGTATTCGATTAATACTAATAATTTTTGGAGAGGTTTATACATGTTTGAAATGAATAGAAGTGATAGAGAGTTTGAGCTAAACAATAATTTATACAAATCTCAAATAATGATTTCAAGTTTGAAATATTCTTTTAAACTTTCAACCTCAATGAAGATATGTTATTATGGTGCTGTCATCATTATGCTACGTACAACATTTTTAGAATTCATTTACCAGGCTGCTAGAGGTAATAAAAAAATATATCGATGAATGATTCTCAAAGTAGTGAATAAATAACAATAAACCTATTTGAAATTCAACGTTATGATGAAAGCGTTAGTTTACTCGTGCAGTTTACATGCGAATATATTGAAAATGGTTATACTGATATATTAACTCATAAATCAAACATGTCAAGTCAATTTTTAGAATTAATGGAATAAGTCACTTGAATCAGAAGAGTGAGAAACAAAACTGAAATCAAATAAATACCAAAAAGATATCGGTGATGATCATAAAAATATTATCTTTTCTTAGGATAATTACAATTAAGAATATACAAAGCAAGTAAAGGAAGTGAGAGAGATTGAAAATGAAAGCCTTTAAGCTATATATGACTTAACATTTCATGTCTAAGCTTTCATTAACCTTGATTAGTTTTCCTCGAATGCTGAATATTCAATTTTTATTTCTTCAGCTTTTTTTCTTAGTTTTATTAATTGAATTAATAGCTTTATATTCTTTCTTTCTATCAAACTTTTCATTTTTTCCTCTTCTGTGTAACTTTTTTTTTTTGTTCTATCAGGGATTTACTTAAGTCTTCCGTCGGTTTTTAGGCTAAAAATTATTTTTCAAACTTTTCTCTACGTCTTGTGATTGTTCAAAAAATACTGTAACGAAGATAATTAGAGTTTTATGTAATATTTTAATTCATTTTTTTTTTTTACTTTCTCGAACAGTATCCTTAACTTTTTATCAGAAAACATTGATTCTGACGTTTGAATGCAATTATTTACTCATTAGTCTTTCATAATTAGGACTTTTATAATTAGAAAAGATCAGCATATTAATTAGGAGGATAAAAAAAATATTTTCCAAGAGTATTAAATAAATTGATAAATGTAACAATAATGTCAGATATATAGAAACAAGAGTTCGTAACAGTTGACATTGGAAAGGGAGATGGAAACGACAGGATTGTGAGTATTCTCTTGGTGTTACCGGCAACGGAAATGGGCCGTCGTATTACGTTTTGTACGGTAATAGCTGAGGCAACAGATGTGAACGCTTGTAGTTTTGCGATGAAACTATCGGGTCATATACGAGACTCTACTACAGTAGGTATACTTTAGATGATATCACGTAAATTTATAGCAAATAAAAATAAAAAACGTTATTCACCTGGATTATGGTTACGAACAATTCCTTAAAAAAAACGTACATTTCTAAAGAATTTCGTTAATAAATAAATCAATAAATAATTAATGTAATGAAATTATTAATCATCATATAACAGTGAATATTAAAAAAATGAAAAAAGATAATTTTAATAATAATACATTTAAAATCTTTAATCTAATGGATAAAATAAAAATGGGGTCGTGTAACTAGTTATTTAATATATGAAATAAAAAAAAATTACATTCAGAATTTTCCAAAGCTTCTTTAGCTATTTTTCCAAAAGGGATTAATTCCAAAGGACCCCCTTTAAAGTATTCGCAGGGGTTCTAGTGAACTGGTTTTGGTGATACTTCTAACGCTAGGTGCAACTCACAACGTATCTTCTCACAGTAAACCTGTCTAACAAGTGATTCACTGCTTAGAATACAAGACAGACCCCCTAGTAAGTAAGACCCCCAGCGAATCATCTGACTCTCATCCAATGATAATTTTTAAGCTAGAATTTCCAGGAAGTATTTGCGTCATTCGAACCAATCCTAAGTCTTTCTCTACAATAGATACGTTACGGAAGCTAAAGCGGAACAACTGAAACCAACAGCTGCGTATTTTTATTCTCAAGTTTTTTTTGTGTTCATTAATTTATTTGCATACTCTAGTATTTTCTCTTCCTCTTCCTACTTCTTCGTTTGCTGTTGGATATTTTTTAAGACTTTTTTAAAGGGACCTGCGCACTTCTTGGTGTTTTTGTTGTATGAATTTCAAGAAGGAGTGAATGCTAATTTACTAGGTTCCAAAAACCGTTAAAATATTAATTGTTCAAACAGCGACATTTAAATGCAAAATTAAATATTTTTTTTTTTGTGAAATTAAACTTTTTTTCTAGTGAAAAAAAAAATACTTTTCCACTATTTATTTACTTTAATGTTCGTTATTTTTATTTGAAAAACGACGAAAAAAAGATCGAAATTCTCCTGCACAGTCGTGGTACAAGAATAGATTGTCCACACAAGACGTAATTGGAAAATACTTGGCGAGCTTGATGCCATGTTGCGGTTGAATCTAGCGACGGTCTTTCATCCCTACTCCCAACATTTAATTCTCATGTTTCTCCTGTAGTACATAGTTTTAACTATTGTAAGAATTTTCATCATAATCCATTCTCTTCACAACCCATTTACCCAAATCGATTTTCTTTTAAAATAGCTTTTTAATCTAGTTTTCTGTGTCATATTATCTAATTTTATAATATAAAAGCTTAAAATAAACTCTATGATTAAATTTAAATTTACCGATATCAAGTCAAACATCCAAAAATTACACCAAATATCATCATCATATCATTAATCACAATCTCTCTTTTTAGAAAATAATTTGAACAATATTAATTAATTTTTCTAGAAATTAATAATAAGTCAATAAAAAACGTAATATCTTCAACATTTGAAGTGTTCTATCCTTCATCTTTCTACTAGTTAAAGAGACTTATCTGTCAATTAGCTCCATCCTACGTATCCAATGTACTTTGATCAACAAGAGTTGTTGCTGGCAATAGTATTGACTTTCAAGAGTATTCTCCAACGTAACGCTGTCAGTCGTCAGGTTCCGCCTCCAACAGCTTAGATACTATTAACCTTAAAGAGTATTTTTGTCTTCTCCATCATCATTGTAAACTTTTAACTATCCACTTGACGTTAACTTCATTTTTATCTCAATATTATATTTTACACTGTGTTGAATTTTAGTTAAAATCAACGATATACATTTTCTCTGGTACTATTTCTCTTTGCCCTCAGGATTATCCATTTTTCATGGAACAGATATTCAGATGGTAACAAGAACTAAAGGGAAAACACGAAACTTCAGAGTACCAGAAAACTAGTGCACAATCGGATCATCGCACTTTTCCCCTGCGGTTTAATATGACCGCAACCGATTCGCTAACAATCGATGTGGGTAGTGAGAGAAAAAAGGAGAGAATGTTCACCAACATGTATAGAGCTTGGGGAATTCAATTAGTTGGCGCATGACAAAAAATATGACATAAAGCTTCGAGAGCTAGTGACACGCGGTCGTAAGACTTGATATACGTCGACGTGACCAGCATCAAAAAATCTTACACTCCTCTTTCAGCACTTTATTTCTTTTTTCCAAGTTCTAACCCTTTACTAAAGGTGGGTATTTTCAGATATTGGAATTTTTCTTTTATCAAATTCGAGACTTTTAAAATATTCTCAAGGGAACCAGTATT